ATGTAATATAATAATATTTCTAATATATAATTAGAAAACACTGGCTTGCCTAGATGGTGCTGTACATAGTATTTGGTTTGTAATAAGAGAGTAAAGGTTGAATCAAAAATGCAGTTAAACTTATGGTCCCAGTTCTGAAAGAAATGCAATCAAAATTATATATTGTGAATAGAAATTATTTTCCTATCCTAACTGTAAGATTTTGACATTAAATCGGTAAATTTGTTAAAAAATGCTATTTTTCTTTAATTTTCCTTTTCTTAAATCTGCTCCGAGCACAATACAAATTGTGTTGCATAATGATAAATACTAGATGGCTCTGTTTTACAATACGGACACACTGTAATTATCAAAGTTAATTGCATTATAAAAATACAAATGTTTGGATAGCTTACTGCATTGCAAAAGTTATGTTGCGAAAAGGAAGCAAACAGAATAAATAGAATCAAGTTCATCATCTCCTCTAACTTCATGGAACTCATTTGTATGCTTATTTACTATGATTCTTTCTAATATATTTCATGTACACAAGTACTCTCCTGTTAAATGAGAAATGCCTCAGGGTGCCAAATGCTTGTTCTTAACGTGTGTGTGCAATTTTCCCCAAAGGCTGGGGAGTGGTTCCGCAAGCAGATTAAACTAGTCACATTGTGTGGTTAATGGACCTGCCTTTGCAGTTATTTTCTGCACATTTCTCATTGTCTTCGTGAATACCGCTCCATGCGCAATAGCAGCATGATGCGCAAATCTGCGTCCCAAAAATGTGCATGCAACCACATGCAAACTGCAGTGGCTCCTCAAATGTGGTTCTATCTTTTGCGTATGTTTTCTCTTACGAAACTGCTGAAGCATCCCCAGAAACCAACGGAACAGGCAAGACAAGATGTTACTCTTGGACTGTATGCTCTGTGGAGAAGAAACTGTGCCTTCCTCTGTGTTAGAAAAGCAATTTGCTCACTGGCAGCAACAGCTACTAAATAAGTAAATGAATATGATAAATAATGTACTGGACCCATTTGTGAATATAAAGCTATTCATGTGCATAAATATTTTGAAGATAGGGTCCCAGTTACCAGCCTTACCCAATTATCTGCCTTTTTTAACAAAACTGTAATTACGCCTATACCTCTAATATGGATTTTTATGGGATGTGCACAGCCTGTTCATATACAGGCTCTCCTCTCTCTTTCCTTTTCCTCAGACCTAGGGGCATTCTATAAGTAACTTTATATACATGAGTAGTCACAGTAGGCTCAGTTTCAGCCAGCTGTGAGTGTTGTCTATTCTGACCAAAAAGGGATGAGTAAAGTGTCTTATGGTACATTTACTATGTGGTGAAGGATGTGGTGAATTGCAATTCAACTATTATATTTATGCATTAACTATTTAAGATGGAACCTTTGCTTTCTCTCCTGTGTCAAAATATATGAAAGAAAAAGTTAAATGACCCTGTTTCAAAACCCTTTTGGAGGTTATTGTGTTAAGGCCAAAAGGTCAGAATCCACTCCCCTGCCTGTGACACACTCCCCAAGATAGATGCTTCGGAATGCAAATGCTCAGAGCTGGGTATAAACCCATGTCAGGCACACCACAGATGTTTTAGCCTCCTTCTCTTATATTATTTTTGTATTTTTTACATTTTCTTACAATACATACTATATTTTCAATAAATGTATCACTTCCTAAATTAAATTTATCGTTAAAAAAGAAACTTGATGTAAGATAAAGAGACGAAAACCTGTCTAAAAACTGTCTTGCTAGCTCAGGGCATGCGGATGCTACTCTGGTGTTTGCAGTGAAATGTTACAGGTATTTGTTGGCCAGTGTGCGTTTCCCCTGCTGAGCACAGCGTGAGAAATGCCTCAGCTGGTGTGAGCGTGGGAAGTGTTGCTCCTAACAGCCACATTAGCATCCAGAGTGCCTTGGACTAATTTCCCCTCTCGGCTGACGCAGCGAGGGGGCTGCAGCATGTCAGAGGGCAAGGCTCTGGCCGTGTTTCCAGGAGAGCTGAAGGGCTGAGCAGCAACACGCGGAATGTTAAGCAGACCCCAGTGTCAGCGCGTGACAGATCCTGATCGTGGGATGCTCTGGCTCGCGTGCAGGAGAGGACAGGGTGCAATGCAGGGCTTTGAAGCCGATCCTGTTGAAGTCTAAAGGCTGATACGCCCTATAGTTAAGTGGAAGAAGTGGATCAGTAAGTCATAAGTGCCTCTTGTTGCAACGCTTCTATTCAGAATTGTTCAGGGTGGGAATTTTCAAAACTGATTTGGTCAGATTCTGCTGGGTACGGGTACTAGCTGAAGTGGACATGGGAACAGACAGTGATGGCTGGTCCCAGGAATGGTCGTAATATTCTCCTGGATCCACGCCCGACTAGGGCACCTGGGGAGAAGTGTGTGTCCACCCCTCAGCCTCTCACCAGCGGGGCACCTCAGCGCTGACCACAGCTCCCACCTTCCTCCTCTCCAAGTCCCAAACTGGGACTCACCTTGTCGGTGCCAAGCTTCCCAACCTATCCTGCTTTCTCCCTGCTCCTACATGCTCAGCTGGAAATCTCCAGTGCCCTGAGCAGAGAAAGCTGGGGGGCTACTGCCAAGCATGTACCGCTTGGAAGCTGTTTGGGTCTCAGCCTTCTACCCATACCACAGTTTAGAAGTCTTTGGTGGAAACACACAGATTAACACTCTAATTAAATTGCTATTAATACTGCTTAAACAAATGCGAACAGCTATATATCAAAATGCAAAATTAAACAACACAGTGGTTCAGTTACTATATTAAATACACCAAGCAATATATACAACCACTTTACTTACAGGTGAATTAAAGATTTCAGTCCTCTGAAAGTATTTCTTGAAATTGACTTAATGCTGTTGTTCTCTATGAACCTGTAACGGGTCGTAAAGTCATTCTGGTCAAAGCAATGCCTGGAACTTGGAAGCCCACCCACTCTATTCAATAATGCCAGGAAATATACTTTTGTCCACTCACAAATATTCTAGATGAGGAAGGCCCATGAAAGCATCATCACTAATAACATCGAAAGTGTTGGATGTAAACAACCTGTGTAAAGAGATGCAAAACAAAAGACCATTAGGTTAGCAGCATCTTTAGAAAATGTTTCAGCAAGCCATGGTAGGCCAAATTTCCACTGCCTGGTTTCATGGTTTTGTCTGGGCAAGCACTACAGGATGGTAAGGCTGATATATTGCACCATAGTCTGGTGCAAAGGGAAGGACCCAACAACTCCCTGCTTTGCATACAGGGGCCATCTGATAAAATTCCATTGACTTCCGTGGGATGTAAATGTGGGTTTATCATGCCAGTAAAACAATGGGATTGTACAAGCGCCACTGGAGACATACTTGGACAACAATGAAATGTTCAAGTACTACAGAGGTCTAAATTGTCTTGAAGAAAACTTACTTTTGATGACAACATAGGGAAAGTATCCAGCTGGTTAGCCAGACATCAGGTCGAATTTGCACCACTGACAGGCAGAAAAATCCCTTAATTTACAAGTTAAACTTGTAAGCATATTTGACCTGAGGGTACTGAGAAGTTACTGAGAAAAAAATGGAAAATCTCTTAATTTAGTCAGTGTTCAAATCAGAACTATTTTTAAGACCACATTATACCTGCTGGAAATAGCTCTTAGTGTGTGCATGTATTTTTCATCCATCTAGCAGTAAAAATACCAGCAACACATTTAATTTTATGTAATTTTGTAAGCATTAAAAGTGGACTAGCACCTATTTTTCCAGCTTTATTTATGCTTATCAGCCATGTTTGCATTTGCCCATTTTAATTCAGCTCTGAACTGCCACACCCTTAATGTGGTGAGGCATTGTCAAGTACGATGAACTTTACCCCAGTGGAATACTAGAGGCACATCTATATTTTATTCAGTTGGACCTGATAGATAAATAGATTTACACTATGACATCCTTAGGCATTCAGGAGTTCAGGATTTCCAAGTATGAATTAATAAGCTTAACGAGTTAATATCTTATTTTGAAGTTTGCATTAAGAATAAATTGCAATTGATTTATTTTCTCAGTTGGCTATTGCAGACTGTGCTTCTTCCACTTTAAATATGTTCCTATACATGTATGAAAAATGTAAGCAGGGAATTCTTCCTTTTTGTTAGAAACAATGAATACTTCTCTTCCTTAGAGGAAATGAGTATTTTTATAAAATCTCTGAACCAGAAGACCAATTTAGTAAACCTGCTGCCTGCAACTAATTTTACTTTTCTGATGTGATTTCACTGGAAATTTTTTCCTTTTCTGCACTCTATCCTCCCTGTAGTTTAAAGAACAGGATGGTATCTCTTTAAATAGTATACCTATTTTAGAGATTGCCAGGCTTATAGTGTAGGTCTTCACTGGGCGAGCTCATTTGCCTCCCATCTTGTACCTCACCCCAATGGCTCTATCACGCGTATTTGATGCACAAAGTGGCCTTTCTCCCACTCTCTGACCTCAGACACCTGATTTGCTTGATCCGTGACCCACCAGCTAGCTATTTCTGGGGACAGAGGCAGAAGATACTGCACTGTGGCTAGAGACTCTATTGCTTAGCAGGAACTGTACGCTGCCAGCAGGTACGGATCCTGGTGCCATGATTACCTCCCTTCTTTCTATGGGCTTTCATGTCATCGGTTGATAAGGGCACCCTCGGCACATTGCTGATACACAGAGTTACCAGCGCTGGAGATGAGAGCAGGAGATTTTCTCGACATTTAGGGAACACTCCTGCTTGGCACTTCGCTGTAGCTGTGTAGGTCCTTCGTATTTTTGCTGTCACATGAAGAGCACAGAGCATACCATCCATACTATTCAAGAAGAAAAGCTCTCCTGGCCTGGGATGTAGGAGTAGTGTTTAGCACAATGAGACCATGAGTTTTCCAGAGACCATTGCAGCTACTACAGTAAAAATAGTAGCAAATAATAATAGCAGCAGATATATTCCACTCTTAGAAATGTGTGACTGGCATACTGGAGATACCAAGTTACATTTGGACTCTAAAAATGTAATGCTGGAGACTATTATGTAAAAATATGTATAGGTTGCTAAATCTTGCTATTGGCTAAATTAAACCTACCAATACAGCTATAATTATGCAAAAGCTAAAACTGACTTTAATTTTTGATTAACCTGAGTCTTCCATATTCTTATTTCCCTTGTTATCTTCTGCCCAAGGTGGAAATTTTTCTTTCCCATTTACAAACTGGAGTATTGGCCCCCCAGATACAACCCTGCTCCTATGGGCTGTGTTTAAGGAGTCATTTGCCTTAGATCAGCAGCCTGACTTCCCAAAAATGGCAAGCAGCTCGGCTACCATGTTAGAAATATATCTGGAAAAGTGTTCAGCAGTATTTTTAGAAATGCTAGGTAGCAGAAGTAATCAATCTATGTCCTGTTTGCACCATTTTAACAGATCTCTCATCGAAGCCCCTCGCAGAACAAAACCTGCTTTTCTGGGGTCGGAGCTTTTGTTGCAGCATTGATTAGCAGCAGGTTAGAACATGCGTTTCAGTGAAGTATACAGCAGATCATGCAAATTATTACCTTTACTAAAACGCCAACAGCCCAGAGACAAAGACCCCACTGTGCCGGGCACTGTAATAACTCAAAATAAAAAGACTGTGTCTGTCCTACTCCACCCTACTCAATTCTGCCTCCCCTGGCAGCGAGATCGCTAAGTGTAGGTGGCATATCGTAGCCAAGAGAGATGATGTCCTACTCACTCTCTTCAGATACAAGCTCCACCAATGCTGCTATTTCTTTTTTTTTTTCCTTTGAAAGGCCCATTGCGGGAATTATGTGAAATGTGTCCCTTCTGTGATCTGTGACCACCTGGGAAAAGCTTCTCCGGAATAAAGCACCATGGAAAAGCATTTAGGTTTCCATAGTAACTGCATTTACCTATTTACCCTGTATCCAAAATTGTACAGTACGTCTGCACCTCCTTATCAGCTCCACTTGAGGTAGCAGAGTACAGCTAGGGTCAGGGCTTCAGCTGTGGGTGCACCAGCAGTTTAATCTACAGCCGTAGGGCTCCAATACATCCCCGCTACACCTCTGACTACACCTGGAGCGCATGGGAAGTCACTCTGGGACAGACGTCCAATTTTGATTTTGATCACATCGGGGAGCCTGTCTTGCCGGATTCCTGAGACAAATCTGGGCGTGTGTCAGGCTGGCAGCACAACCACTATAAACAGTTCAGGTTACACCCCCTCTACCTCTGTATAGCTTGCAATTATATAATCGTATGCCCACATTTCTAGGAAAGCCTGTGAGCCTGTGAAAATCCTATATAGAAATGCATCTAATATTTAAACATCCCAAAATAGTCTCTTTCTGCATATACCTCATCGCAGATTTGATTTTGAAATAACTGCTTAATTTTTTTTAATTGGAAGAGAACCTTCATTACTTTTTTTGTTTTTTTCAAAGAACGTGAAATAACAAAGAGGGTCAAATCCAGGCGCTATGAAGGCAAAACTCCCACTGAAGTGACTAAACTTCCACAGAAGTCAATGGCAATTTAACATGGAAAGGGACTTCGGGACCTGTCCCACTGCAGTGAAGGGCCTGATCTGAGGGGTTCTGAGCTCACAGTCGATGGGAGTTGCAAATGAGCAGCTTCATATTGGGATCAGGCCCCAGGACTGCAGAAAAGAAACAAGAATAGTTGTTGCAATGCTCAAATCCCTACTGGAGTGTTAATTAAAGTATAATAAAGATAGCATACGTTCTGTCACCAAAAGCTTCAGCACGTAATCATTCAAAGTAGCACTGACAACAGATAGCCTTGCAAAATACTAAGTAGATACACTTTGAAAAAAATTAAACATGCACTATCTTTCAAATTGCTAAAAAGTCTTGTATTGTGTCATCTAATGAATCTTCTCTTGCTGTTTCTTACAAAATTCATACTGAGACCCTTTCTGTAATATTTATGGATACATATACATTTCATAACAAAAATTGTATCATATAAATATTTCTCACAGAAGCTGCAGAGATGGTGTGAGCAAAAAACTCCCTTCTGGGATTTTAGTAAAAGCAGATCTCACAAAGGATCTGGAAAGAAGAAAAAAACAACCTTATATTAATGTAGTCTCATATATCCGTGGCTGTAATACCGATCTGGTCATCACAGACAAATTTATTTATGTAAGCAAAAAAAACCCCCAACCCGAAAAAACAAATGTTACACGTTTCATGTAGTATAGAAGAAGGTATAAAATGGGATGTGTGCACATACACAGACAGACAGACAGATGAAAGAGATGAAAAAAATCAGGATTCAAGGATGCAGCACAATTTTAACACATTAGCTGATGATTCTGAATGCTGGAGGTACTCCCTGCAGCAAGCATCCTTCTGTATGCACTGAACACACCACACATCCTAGTTCATTTTAAATCATAAATTAAATAACCAAATGCTTACAGCCCTTACAGTGAGATAACATCAGGCGGAACGCTGCGAGGAATAGATCTGGCATTTTCACATAAAGCATTATCTTTGGTACAAGTACACCAGGCAGGACATTTTGGCTTCACTGGTTTCTTCCCTTCAGTCAGCAAAAGCACAGATAAAAGGCATAAGAAATAAGCAATTCTTCTAAAGGGTCTGCTGGCATTTCCCATTCTTTTGATCCGCTCTCGTTCCAGCCAGTTGAAAGAATATCCCAAAACATGAACAGGGGTTCTTTATTCAGCCATTGGATGTCTTTCTATAAGTCCAGGTCAATATTTGTCTCTGGTTTCCCAACCCTTTTCTTTCTCTTTCACTCTGTTTTTGTAGACAGAAACCTGCAGCTGATCTGTATGTTTCCACTCACTCAGGCAACGTACTGCTCAGAGAAGAGACCTGCGAGGTGCTGTAAGATGGGGAAAATCCAACCGGCTGAAGGGGAGAAAAAAAAAAAAAAAAAAAAAAAAAGACTTGCATCACCACAAAAACACTGAGCACAACACAGCATTAGATTGCAAAGTGATGTAACTGAGAAATACACTGCTTTCTGTTTTCACAGGGAGGCCCTTTCCCTGTTACCAAAAATAGTACAGCATTATGTTTTGCTGGTGGGTGGGTGAGTGGGTGTGGGGTGGAGTGTATGTGTGTGGGGGGAGAAATCAGTCATCTCTTACTGGATCCTACAACCTCGTGAACCTTTGAGAATTATGCTTCACATATTGCAAGCAGCAGAACTAACGGCAGTATTCACAGGAAAATGAAATCGAGTGAAACCATCAAAAGCATTGCTGCAAAAGCTGTTAGATTAATTTTTATCCTTAGCCCTTATTGCACATATTTGTACCACTGAAAAACAAGCTGCCACACATGGAAAATATTACAATGTATGAGCGAATGCCTACAACTGTCATTCCTAAACAAAGTATTTTCTCATGCAAAATAGAGCCCAACTGCCTGAGCTTTTTTTTTTTTTTTTTTTTTTAAGAAAAAGAACCATTCTCATTTGTTACATGTTTTCTGAGCTGGTTAAATAAAGTGGATCAAGCACCGTTCAAAATGGACAACATTAATTAAAAGTTCAAGTTAAAAAATGTATTTGCTTGGAGACTGGTTTGATCATTTTAGACGGAAAACAGAAAATTATTATTTAAACACCAGCTATGTTAAACCTGTAGTTAAGAATGGACCTTCTTTGAAAAGTGACGGGGTAGGGACAGATCTGGATGGTAATAATGAATCTTTACAATACTGCCTGGGGGCTTCAATTGAAATCAGTGCTAGGTGCAGTATGAATACTCTGTAAGAAACAGTCCTCAGCCTGAAGACTTTACAGTAAACTACATTAAATATTTTATAGGGAACTTAAGCAGCAACTAAGTGTTAATATAGAAAGAATGGTAAGACAAAACTAATGAATGACAAATAGCTGGAAAGCCATATGGGATGATTTTATTTTTTCCGATATAGGATTGCTATTAGAAGAGTTTTGCAAACTTTAATAGGTCTTGACACTTCCCCGTCAGACTGGCAGCACTGTTTGCGTTACACAGATCACAAAGTCTGCTAGGGTCGACCCGATGGTACAGAAGTTTACTACAGACATGCTCGCTATTGGCTCCTTCACGTAGGTGCTGTCTCCTCACCAGGAGACACGGTAAGCCAGAAGATCTCTCTTCACTGCCGGTGATTCCTCCTTTGATGCCACACGGCCACCTGGCTCTGGCCCATTGCTCCTGCTCTACAGGCCATGAAATCTCAGGGCCAACACCGGGCCACATCTGTCTTCCTCAGGAATGACGCCAGCAAGGCCCAGCGCATACCCAGATACGGGTGCCCAGTGGGAATTTCAGATGCTACGTGTGGCAGATGGCGAAGGGGGACAACAGCCTGCAAAACTGCAAGAAATTCAGCATACGGACACTAGGCAGGACCCCAGCACGGCCGAGTCCTTACCAGGGCGGTGGCTGAGGTCCACCTCCCTGGGTTGAGAGGAGACCTGCAGAGCTCCCACCCAGGGGTGGGACTGCATCCTCTGAGGGACTGGGGATGGCCAGAAGCGTCCAGAAAGCTTTCAGAGGCAGAGGGCCGCTGCTGAAGGCGCTGCTGGGAGAGGACTCCGGTGCCTGTGCATCGGCACGCTCCCCGCCTGGCACCCGCGCCTGCGGAAAAGGGCAGCTCGTGCTTTCTCAGCTCCCTTGCTCTCTGTGGTGTGGTTTTTTTAAAGCTCTTTATTAATTTAAGCGCGGGCCCATATTTTGGCTCATAAGGAAATCTCCCCTGTCAGCAGTCTCTCCTGAAGCAAGACTGACTTCAACTAGGGGTGACACAGAGCTGCGTTATTTCTGAGCCCTTCCACCTTCTGTAAGAAAAGAAGGCACAGAATTACAGTAACCAAAGCACTGAAATCATTATAAAGCAAATGTTGATGCCTTCCCCTGGGCATAAAGGTTACTTCTTGCTCTGGAAATGATCTAATTGTACGACTGAGAAGGGAGCTGGATTTGTGGGACTTGCGTAAGTAGGGTACACTATCTTCTCCCCTCCGAGATGTCCAAAAGCACAGACTTTGGTGAGGTGAGAACAGAAAATTCTCTAACTTTTTGCTGAGAGAGAAGAGGCCTGTTGTTGTTTGTTTGTTTATTCCTGGCAAAGCTACCCATTGCCATGGCAATATTTTGCCATTGATGGTGTAACCCCATGTTTCATTTCCTTCGGCTCATTCACTGAAATCCACCATCAATTACTTAGGCATTTCTTTTTAGTTAATACTCCAGCCACACTGTGAACCTCCTGAAAACTTTGCAATGTAGCGGTTTTTCAGCAACAAAAGCACATTCTGCAGCAGGGCAGTAACCTGACTCGAGTTTTGTCCGCACAGAGAACCGCCTGGAAGTTGGTTTTCTGATCCAAACTACATGCCAAAACAACCGCTTTTTCCAAAATTGCAAACATTATGAATATTTTTAACAGCTCTGTCAAAAGGGAGGCGTAAATCACGTTTTCCGGGGGCCTTTTGTGCCAAGCTCAGTATCTCGTTTCTTGCCATGTAGTAGTTTAAAAACAAATCGGTTCGTGGCTTTTCAGTGGCATAGCTGCTCTCCAGCCATTGCAACGTTTGGCTCGCCCTTTACCCGTGCCATCGCTGTTTGTTCTCTGGCTAACAGAGCAGGCGATTGCCTGCTGTGCCCGCAGCCCAGCGCCTGCCCCTAGGACCTCGCTAGCTTGTTTTCGCTGGTGTTTCAGGTACTGATTAGGCACAATGCGACTCAAAATTTATTTGTTTTTTTCTTTCGGCAAGGTTTCATTTTTTTTCAGGAGTGCTCGCGTTACTCGCTCTGCTTCTCGTCATCTGACAACGTTACAGCTGAAAAATCTCCACCTTGCCGTGCAACGGAGGTGCTCGCCGGCAGACATGTTCCACTACGGGCAGGGGTATCCTGGGCTTCTGGCTGCC